AAATGTTAGATACAAACCTTATTTCAAGGAATAACAAATTAGTTTTATTTAAAAAAATATATATGAGAAATTTTCAACAAATAATTTTTTAATCATTTCTGTGTATTGATAACTTTGTGAGATTTCTATAGATATATTGAATAATCGAATTGTATGTAGAGAGTTGTATTAGTATTTTTGAAACAATGGTTGACAAGTAACTCCATGAAAATATTGAGGTAATTTTTTGACATCAATGATTTATATTATTTTGGTTACCTTAATCTAAATATAATTTAAAGTTGAGGTTATAAAAGAATTAGTTCATACTTTTTTATTCATACTTTACAAAGAATAAGTTCATTTTTTCGTATACCCAGTGATTAATTATTCAAATAATATTTTTCATATATTTAATTTCAGATTATATGTTCATTTCTTATAAATTGTACGTTAAGAAAATAAATATGCCGTTTTTTATTAACTACGTATGCATTGTTGCGAATTAATGTTTAAAAATAAAAAAATATATATAACTTTATAAAGAGCTTTTCGTATAAAAATATAACATCACAAAAAGTCAGTCTGATATGTTGTGATATTTTAAAGCATATCAATCATTCTGTTTATACGTCGAACGAAAATAATGTTGTTAGTAAAATGTCGAGACCATGTTACAATCCTTGACTTGCAGGTAACATGTTTAAATTTGTTTCAAGCACTTATAATATTGAATTGTGTTCAAAAAATATGTTGTCTCTAAATAAATGTATTATTTTTAAAATACATATTCGAGGTGCTGGTCCTAAGAGTTGAAACAGCTTTATCTGTATTATCTAAAATAAATAATAATAAAAAAAAGAAATACAATTTCATATAGATGACAAACTTCACTTGACGAAAGCAGGTAAAACTATAAAAAAAAATTATACGAGTATGTATTACCAGTCAGAGCAAGTACATGGCTCCCTTTTAAGTAGAAACTGATGGTAATGATTACAGATTACACATTGTGTGGGTGCTAACAGCGTTGAATTTGTTTCTTTTATGTGGCTATATGATAATTTTCTTATAGGATATATCTTTTTTCTTACTTATTTATGATTGTAGTCAATTTTAAGTTCAATATAAATTACTAATAGTCACTGAGGATTAAAACTCTTTATCTTATAAGTTGTAGAATAATTACTAATTAGTGTAGAGTATTAGTTAAACTGTTCATGAGATGGATGAGATAAGATGGTGTTTACGCCTTAATGAAAATAGTTTTTTTTTCCGTCGGTCGTGGCATTTGAATTTTTAAAAAAAAATCTTATAAACATTTTCTTCGATCTTACTGAGATGTCATTCATTTCAAGTTTTTTTTGGTCGTTTGTATTATTATATTAACTTAAAATGTTTAAGACTTTAGGAATTACAATAAGAGCTTCGATAACGATCAGTGAATAAGTGATATTTTTTTTTTGTTTTTAGACATGAGTAAATTTCTACAAATTGGTTTATTTAATTTTTAATCATTGATTTTAACGTTGTCTGTTTTGTAAATCTAATATCATTTTATCTACAACAAATTACTATCAATATCATTGCAAATTCCTTTAATGAAATATTCTAAAACATTTTAATATACTAAAATATTTCACTTGGCATAAAAATACTATAAATATATTAATTATTATGTTAATATTAATGGGTTTAATTATGAAAGACTCATTCATAAGTTTTTCCAATAAAACATTTGTGTGACAGAAATTCTTTATTGATGGGAAAAACTACTACAATGACTACATATGACACTGACTTACAATAGGTCATAATAATAATAAGTGATTAAATATTAGAGCCCTTTTACTACGGGCACAAATATACAATTTTAAGATACAAAAAATCTGACAACTTAAAATATAAAAATGTACTGTCCGTTACAATCAAGCGTTCTTAAAAATTAATATATCAATAGCCTCATAGTATATTTTAACTGATACTAAACTTGATATACATATGAATAAGAAAATCTGTGAAATCTTTCTATAGGTATTTGGATGTAAATATAATTTTGTTAAAGAATACGTGTTTTTTTAAATATCAGCCTTTTAAATAAAATTCTGGTCTACAAATAAATTTGTAATTGATAACAAATCCTTGGTAAGTATGTTTACAAAGCTCTATAATATTTTAGACAATTAATAATACAAATGTTTTGAATTCAAGGTAAACAAAATACCTTCATATTTATAGATACAGACAGACGTCTACAGAAATTTCTATGAATAGACTAAACTTTTATTTACATTTGACACATTCTACGATGATGATTGTATGTGGGTTTATCATTATTATAGTTTCAGATAAAATTATGGTTCAAATTTTTACTATACTACTTTTACATTTTTACTTAAGAAGAATAAAGAAGAAAGAGACTAATAAATTTAACCTTTTATATTGAGCAGTAAAGAAAAAAGAGACTGGATAAAGTAAGCTATTAATAAATTGTCTAAAAATAGTTCATATCATTAAATTTTAATGTGGAATAAGCCTCACCACGACTTCTAACATTTTAAAGGAAATTTTATTATCCTATAAAAATAAGTTACATTTCATTATAATCATATTGAAAAGGATGTATTCTAAATAAATACCCCTGTATAAATTTCGAGTGAAGCTCTTTTTTAATTTCCATGTGAATCAGATCTATTGTAGATTTTGTTTGTATGTAAATATGTATAAAAGAATAATAAAGTGGACGTGATATAACAGAAACTTAATTTTAGTTTAAAAAATGCTTACATGTCCATAAGGCTCGTAGATTAAAAAAATCAGTCTTTCAAAATTAAATCTATGTCCTAATATTGCCTAAATAATGAATGGATTTTCCGGATGCAAGCCTTTTATAAGCAATATAACATTAAACTAAACTAAGCTTGGATAATGTTACCACATGCTACAAAAAATTGTTTATTTATTTAAATTTTGAGATTTATGTTATAAATATAATTTTACTTATAATAATGCAGAAGATTGAGCCCTTTGATTGATAGCTTCTGTGTTACCCAAAAAAATCGCGAAAAAGATGCTTACAACAAACGGAAAATCGCTCCAAAAACAAATAAATCATAAAAATATTAATTGATATTTCCATAGACGCTGTTAAACATCTAATTTTTTTTAAAATGCTATATGTAAATAAAATACATCTCTTCTAAAGTATGTTATTATATAGTGTAGCAACATACATTTAATTTACTTCATAATGTTTGAATTTAAATATATTTCATAAAAATAAAAATAGTTCTATATTAAAAAGATTGACGCTGTTTTCAAGTATAAATAAAAAAAAACATTAACTTATTTACTAGACAAGAGAACTAAATTACCAACTTTTCATTTATTGTCTCAGTAATATAGCAACACCAAGATTTTTTCTGAAAGCTAATATCATATTTTTTTCACAATATTCTTATTTACATAAAAATATTTTAATGTGTTTTCTAAACAGCCCACACCCAAAAATAGACAACACAAAATTTTCGAGTCAGCCCAGCCTGTGCAATCGAGGTTATTTAAGTAAAATTCTTCGTTTACTTTAAACCCAGAAACATTATCATTTACTGATTTTGAGTAGAAGTGTTCTACCATAATCAACAAATGTAACCATCAATACCTTTATCTTCTTTCTCAGTATCTCCATTAGTTTTATTGCAAGTTCTTATCCGGATACCACGAGATCTCTCAACATCTCGTATTATCGAGAATAATTTTTTATTTTTCTGAAAAATGAACTTACTTATTTTAAAAATATTTTCATATAATATCATAATATTGCTATGTAGCTGATAGTATTAATAAGCTACGAAGAACATACACGGGCGTAAAGCCACTTTCTAGACTGTATTTTTAATTACAATTTTCGCAAAAACATAAAACCAGGGCTTTTTAAATTTTCGCTAGAAGCATGTCAAGTAAATAAACATTCAAGTATTAAATAAATACAGAAATATTAATATAATTATAATGAGTTAAATAAAAAAATCTGAAATATTAAATTAAAACCAATTTATCATTTATAATAACAAAAAACAGTCAAAGTAGCGACGTGAAACTGAAAATAGGTTTTGTTTAACGCTTAAATCAAGTAAATTTCTTTATTCGCAAAGCATATTTGTTAATAATCTGCTCCTGACATACTTATAAGCATTTCGCAAGATACGTAAAACATTGCATTGCAAGAACTCGAGAGAAAATTTTAAGGCAATTACGAGAGATTTTTATTAATTATAAGTAAATGGTGAGTTGATTAATACTAAGCTAAATTTTTACTAACAGGTGAAAAGGGTGAAGTGTAAAAGAAGAAAATGAGGATGTGCAAAAGTACATGTAATCTACTAAACAATATTCGGTGCTTGTTATAGTAAAATGCTAGATTGTTTATATAACGATGATCCGATACCGTATAAATAACAAAACCTAGGTATATGCGCGTGTGTTCGTCTTTCTCGTTAATGGAATTAGAGTGGTATGAATTGGCGTCAAGTGAAAAAAGCATTTCGGTTATTTTTGTTTATAGTTAAAACTTAATTTACAACTTAAAATGTGTTAATATTCTATTGTCTACTAAACTTTGGTTAATGTCACTTCCATTTTAAAGCATTTATTTCAGAGACTTATTTCAATTCATGCTAAAAAAAACAATTAGTAATCTGTACGCAACCCAAAAATGTTTTTTTATGACAAATAACTTACCCAAAATTTGCTAAAAGACGTCGCTTGTTCGAAAAGACGATTATCAGTAACTGTTGAAAAATAGAGACCAGTAGACTCCTTTAATTTTTAAGAGTTAACTTGTTTAGTTGTATATTTTTCATACTATGGTTATGTTTTTATATTATTATTACATAACATTGGACTTTTATGTTATTGTTAAATTGTATCAGAAACGTAAGTTTGGTATTTAAAACTAGTTCTAAATTTGAAATAACGATTCAAAAACATATTTCCGGGGTTATTTTAATCTGAGAATAACATTACTCACTTTCATTTAAGCGCGAAATAAGTTTCTCAATTTCATATTCCGCACTCGTTTGGGATCGTTTAAGTTTTTTTGTTTTACACATATTTTGGGGACGTGGTGTTTTAAATGTTTCAGACAAACTAGAATCATCCAAGTTTGTATCGTCATCGAAATCTTCAAAATGTCGTTTAATTCCTGATGTACTCGGTATTGGTTCCCCGAAACGATTAAAAGTTTGGTCGTCGTGATTAGATGCGACTGGTGGAAAAAGATTTTCAAATGGACTCTTGACAAATCGGATTGGTTTAGGGCTGCCTGCCTTTTTTTCGAGTTCAAAGAAATCTTCAAGAATTTTTTGAGTAGCTTCATAGTCAAGGTCTAAATCAGGAGAGACGACAGGTGATAGTTCTGGAGTAATTCTTAATGGTTCTGGGTCAATTTTGGTCGGCATTCTTATTACAGTTTCTGGAATAGGCATAAAACTTGACTCTGGTTTTGGATTTGGGGACGAAACCACTCGTGTTGGGATGTTGTGTGATAAGTTGCAACCATATGGTGCACCGGGGTAAGCTATATATTCCATTGGAAGAGTCTTCTCTATTTCACCTACATTTGGAAATTGGAAATTGTTATTTTCTTGAATACTTGGATGTTTTCTGGATGCGAATGCATTTGAAGGATTCGGACGATATAGAATTAAACTATTATTACTTTTTGTCGAAACTGGGACAAAAGCTGATGTATGAGTTTCATCTTTAAGTGGCTCTTTTAGCTCAAGAGATTCCAGGTGTTCGCATGTGTCCATAAGTTCCATTGATTCTTTCGGTTTTAATGGTTCATTTAGTTGATGGGGATTATACATTGGGGACTCTTTTTTTGATGATTCAGATTCTCGAAGATTTTTGATAAGTCTGTAACTTCTCTCAATTGCTTTTTGTATTTTGTCTTTCCTTGGGGGTATAATAGCTAATCCTGGAGGAGATATTTCACCATTATATGTTGATTGTTGAAAAATATCACCTGATTCAAACGAAGGTAAATTTGTCACCAGATGCAATATAACTTTTTCAAGTTGTCTAGGATCTTCTACAGGTAGAGTTTTTTTATCACTAACCTGAAAAACAACATCAACGTTTAGTAATAACAATTTCAAATATTTGTCAATTTCATCATATCTCAATGATATCAATATTAAAATTTTATTTGTTTCCTTTTATAAGCAATTATTATTCGATCATACTTTTATACGAGTGCTTGTTTTTTTATTAATTAGATAGGGACATATTTGGATAGTATGGATTGTATGGATAGTATTTACATAGTTATTTGATGAAACTTTTATTTGTATAAAACCGTTATCAGCACTATAACTCCGCAATATTTTCCTAATTGGATTAAAACTTTTTTCAGTCATAATACATGCCATGTCATTATAATATACTGAGAAATGAGAAATATATACCTGAGAAATCTTCAAAAGAAAAGTTAAAAAGGTAAGTAATCTCCACACTTCCAAAAGAAAGGGTAAGAAACGAAAATTTTAAATTTAGACAATACTTACAAATAATTGCATTTTTTTTTTCATAAATAAAAAGATTATATATGAGCCTTGTACAAAAAGTATTAACTTTGTATTAATTATTGTTGAAATATTGATAGTTCCCGAACTTGTATTTATAGTTCACAATGGATACAATGATTCGATTTTAAAATAATGTTATTTTAAACATGTTAAATTATTCACGTCATTTCGCACGAATAAAAAAAAGAACACCCAAAAAATATACAAAATTGTCTATGATAACAATATAATTTCAAATTAGGGGTGTTTAATGAGCTTGAAAATTGCGCATAATTATTTTTGGTAATTTTATTTTTGTGTGAGTGTTTTACAATATTATAAAAATTATGAATTGATCATGAAATAATACAAATTGTGTGCAACTATACAGAATAATCTTTGCTCAATTTGGTATTTCTTTTTTATTTTAGCAATACGTTAGGTATAATGTAGACATAATTATATTAGAACTTTGAAGATAGGATATAAGAATATGAAAAAGAATTTATCAAAGTATGTGATTTCATTTGATAATGTGTGTATAGTTAATAAAGAAAATATGGAAAAATATTTTTATGATATTGTTAAATAAAATAAATGGGGCGTTACAACTAACATTAAAATTTATTTGGCACCTGGGAAATTATAATAAATCTAATACTATTAAAGCTATCTAAATAATTTGTTTATAATTTATACCATTAATGGTTTATACATATTAATCATTATTTGAATATTTTTTTTTTATAAATTTGCATTATTTATTTCAGTATTTCTTATTTCAATTGGACTACAATTACTTATTTTTTAATGTACTCGATAAGTATACATAACTACATTATAAAACATTTACATAAGCATGTGGGCTATGTACTAGCTGAATGATACCTTAACTTTTCTTCATTTCAAAGAAGACGAGCAACCCTGATGTGTGCTAGTATAATGTATTTTTTATTTATCCCTTTTTAATTGTGTATAAAACAATTGATATGGTTTTAATGGTTTTTACCGATGGTCAAGAATATTAATTGTAAATTATGTTTCCTTAATTTACACAAGTATATTATCATTAAAAATATACTTACTTTAAATAAAAAGATTTTGTTTTGTATGAACATATTATTTTTTATATTTTATAACATTTACGCGGAAACCCCATTAAATGTGTTTAAATATTACTAAATTATATTTTTATTTTGATCTAAATAAAATTTTTGTTCTAGGAAAAAAAAACGAGCACAAAAATGGTTTCATAAAATCACCTTGATATCAAAAGTCTGTATATTTTTATATATTTTGGTTAAAAAGGCACTATTTTGAATCCATGACTCAAAAAAAATCTTAATCTTAATATATTTTTGAAGGTTTATTCTCCTAGGAATAAAATGTATGTATGAGAAAAAAAATCGTCATCAAATTATTCCTATATATGTAGATTTCGTAATTACATTTAGGATTGACGTAGAATAAAATACAAATACACTTCAGCTTTCGGATTCTATTGATTTTTTTTTAACATGGCTAGTTTCCTTTAGAAGGTTTTACACTGGAATGTTATTTTGGCACTAAAGTCTGTTAATTAAGGTTCTGTAACACAAAAGCAGAAAACTAAACTTCCATAGGATCATATTGCTGTTCATTATTCTTCCCGACTATCCATCAAGACTTCTAATACTAGAAACTTGCAAAGGTATCAAGTTACCATACAATCATATAATGGCTTATACACTGGAGTCTGTATACCTTTGAGTATAATATCGAAGTTAACTTTATAAAAATATGTATATATCCGTTACTGCAATAAAAATAATGTATATTTCAACACTGCAGGAAGTCTATATTTATTACCAAATTTCATTGACCTAGAACTAAAACCTTTTACAACCAAAACAATCTTAAACTATGCGAACTACTAAAAAAGATTAAACCTTGAAGAATAAATATTTATATACAACTTCAAATCTGATTAAAACCTTAATAGACAAGTCTGACTTTGGATCAAATTTCAGTTTTCAAACTAAAATATTTTTTTTTAATTAAAATAATACCTATCCGTGATGGTTTTAAAAATATCTTATATTTAAGATATATCTTTAAATACCCATTTTTTAAAGATTATTAAAATATAATTATGTAAAACACATCTGATAACATTGATTTAAATATTAAGAAAATTCATTATTAGTAGCTTTAAACCTTCTTATTTCAAGAATATTATACAAATATTTGATATATAAAAAGCATTTAAGTAATGTATACATAAATAGGTTCTTAATGGATGGTAAAAGGGACACACACCACACGTGGTTAAAGAATTAAATTGCTTTTTCCTTCCATTTAGTCAATAAAGCACGCTTTACCTCTCTCCATAAATATTTTAAATTTCATTAAAACGTTTAATCATTTGCATCCTCATAATGAAACAATAATTTGTGAACAGTGATTTTCATCCACTTTTCTAAACATATAGTGTCATTTTAATTAGCACATTGGTTTCATTTCATTAGATCAAATAGAATCATCGTTTTATTGTGTAACTTTTCAAGCTTTTTGATTCTTGCTCACATATTTTCCTTTTTTTATCTCTCAAAATATTTCAGATCTCGGAGTCCATTATACTTTTCAAATACGTCCAATCCATTGATATTCAAATTATTATTTGAAAATAAAATCACATCCCTGTAATTATGAGTTGGTGTTCCACTCGGTATGGAATGCTTGTTCAAAAAGTATGACAGTGGGGCATCTTCAATAACTTCAACACTCCTCAAGAAGATTTCTTCTCTAATTACTTTTTGCTTTTTAAATCACTCTCGATGAAATTGGGAACCGTAATGCGATAAATAATTATACTAGCAAAAACGTTTACACTAAATCTTTCCAGCAGAGCGTCTCTACAAATAACTTTGGAATTTTCACCTAGACAAATTACAAATGAACGTTATGGACATAAGATAAACTTATTTGAGATCAAAAAGGCTATAAGCCCATCATTGTTTGTGGTTTTATTCTGTATGAGCCTAAAAAATAAGCGTATTAGGAAGCTTATATGAGAATAATGAGTCAATTAAATATTTTACTGTACATTTTTTTTTGTTTTTTAGTTCGCCTAAAAGTATTCTTCCCGCTATCTTCGTAATATGCATAAGTTGATTATGTTATTGTTAGTAAACTCTAGCTAAATCCAAAAAATCGAAAGTGGTGATTGGTGATTATTCGATGCTTAAAACATCACAATTTAGTTTTATATAAGTTATATTGACCAAAAGAGAATTTACTTATTTCAGTCAAAAATAAAATAAAGTGAGGAATTAGCAAAGAGATAGTAACATTTTAATTGTTTTGACATAACCATTGATACCAGTAAAACATCAATGTATTGGAACTGGGTCGGAAGTAATGAATTTTGAAAAGTGTTTTGATGAATGATGATTTGATGAATGATGAACTTCTTAAAAAATATTCCAATTCAATTACTAGTAGGATGTTATGCTGAATGATGATACACTTATGAGTAGTTATGAGTAGTAGGATGTTATACTTATGAGTTTTAATCCTCTTTGACACAATATACTTAATGAATAATAAACCCTGAAATGTTTCTTTTTTTAAGTTAACTATAAGATTACCTGAATTATTCTCATACATATAATTAATGTATACTTGATATATGTATAGTATACTGGTATTTTTTGTAACAGTCCAACATAAATATTTAAAAGCAGACTTCTTTGAATCAAACTTAATCCTGGAGATAATTAGGCGTTGAATGTTACCGGTCTATGTCCAGTGTTTCTTTACAACAATCTTTATTGAAGGTTTATCATTTTCAAAATGGCTTTTATTATTTCATTTTTATATTATAATCAATAAAATTTGTACTGTCTTTTTTCATAATTCCAAACCGTAATTACTAATACCCAACGTAAACATAAAAAATAAAGTAACTAAGTAAGTATTTTAATTTAAATTATAAGTCTTAAATTATCTGTTACAGACCAAAACGAAATTCAAAATTTAAGAGTTTCAAACAAAAAAATATATTTGAAAAGTACATTATTATTGGCTACTACAAACAGTGAAATATCTAATAGACTTAAATAATTTTCCTGATTTAATTAATATCAAGCGTTTAAATTTTGAATAATAAATGTATTATTTAAAAAACCTCTGAATTAATTATTATCATTTACAAGATTTTCTAAAATTGTAATAAGCATAAGTAAATGCGAAATAAGTAACAAAAAATTAAATTTCAATGAAGAAAAAAGGGTTGAACTCCCTTAATAACATTTACATTAATTGTGATAATACGCACCTCATTAATAAATAGAAGTTCTCAATTAATCACTGTTTATATTATCTAACTGCTTCATTACAAAAGTTTCATGCACCTTTAATATAATAGTTCAATCACGCACTTTCTTCACCGATGATTTGATAGTTTTAGCGCGGTTTGTAGAGGCTACAATGCGGAGCGACGTTCGCGTTCGTTGCTGGAACGTAACTGGCTGCATTGATAGCGCTGCAAATGCACTTTTGCAAATAGTAGACGCACCCATAACTGAGACGGCATATGTATTTCGTCCTACGTCATATTATTTACTACGAGTAATATGATGAGAGAAATATTCTATTCCACATTCATTCTTTAATAAGTATTAATTGTATAAAGATAATACTAATAATTACTAAATTGTATAAAAAAAAAGTTTAGCGAAGGTATTTTAAAATAATTTCAGTATTTTTTAATTAACCTCCGACTTAATGAGAGGGGTGATATAATTCTGAATAAGATGTCTGTATATGTATATCTGTCTTTGCCATGGTAGTTCTAAAACGGAGCTACCGAATCCGATACAATTTTTTAAATTTGAAAGCCATCTCACCTGTGATGGTTGTTGTTGTTGATATGTTGTTAATAACTTTTCTGTGGTTTAAAAGTAATAACTCTCTATAAATTATACAAGGCATTTTGGATTTTTTGTTTTTTTTTATTTTCCCAGGTCAAATCTGCTCACAGATACCCGGCCGGGACCTATAATTATTCGATTAAGTGTATCACGCGCGCCTCAAATTTACATGACAGTTAATGACTTATATATTATTTTTTTTAAATAAAATGTTGTTATTTTATAAATTCATTTGATTAAATATTAGTTTCACATAGTATTTAAAATATTATAATTAATAAAAGAATTAAATTATTTATAAATAGATTTCTTGAAAATCCTGTTATTCTATATTCTTTCTTAATAAGGATTAAAGTGAGTTCTTAAAATTTTAATTAAAAATAAATAAATTAATGTATAATTTCAAATTAAACAAAAATATATGTTGCTAAACAAAAACAATACACATGATTCAATAAATATTCCTCAATGACAATTCCAAACATACTCGTGTTTATTCCGTTAAGCTTTTAGGTGAAATTATGCTTAAGTGCCTTTTACAAAAATCGTAGTTATATTTCCAAGAAAGATTTGTAGCGGAAATATAAATTATGTTCTGGTAAATCCTTGACCTAAGTTCTCCTTTTTTTATTTCTTTAAACTTATTTTATTTCCTATTTATACTAATTGCATCAATTTTTAACTTGTTATTTTAAAAAGGTTTATTTTTTAAGCATTTTTTTTCTGCATGTTGTTTTAATATAATGTAGTAGAAAATTTTAATTTTCAAATGAAGTTATGATCAACTAAATTTATGTTTTATTATTAGCTTGAAAATTATAAAACGCATGTTTTGCTTTTTTTCTCCATAATATACCTATCAACTAAATCAAGAAATTTAAAACATGACAATTTATAATCATTTCAGCCTTATTTTTTGTATATAACTATTCTGAAGTATAACTAAAATATTAAGGACCATTAAAATTCAATTTATTGGTTTCTAACAGGTATACATATAACAGGTATTTAGCCTATGTTCTGATATTTGTCTGGTATAAACGGTCTCTTTACGGACTTTGTCGATTGAAGCAATCTTGTCAATAATCAATCTCAATATACATAATTATATTCGTACATGACTGCTAAAGATAATTGAATTTCCTAATCGATGCCTAACACATTATATTTATATGATAAATTACGTACATGCAGCATATTATTACTGTATTGTCTTGAATCTATTGTCAAGTTAATGTGTCTCTGCTGGTCGAAACCAATGATCCTTTGCAAGATATTTATGTATACATATATTTACATATTCTTCAACTTATTAAGTAAATAAATAAATAAAACTTTTTTCATTTTTAATTTTATAAAACAAAAGATAAATTATATTCCATATACTTACCTGAATTTTTTTTTGAAAAAAATATGTTTAATTTTGGCTTTGATATTGCTTTTAGTCTTTGTGAATACTCATCACTACAATATTACCTGGATGAAGGTTTTTCATATTTTATTTTTAATGTTTTATTTTTAATATTTTCAGTCCAGCTGCAGCAGTACACATGACTGCTCTAAAATATTTGTACTTTAATATATTTCAATTACAATTTCTTTGTTCTTTAGATTGTTTTAGATAGACTGTAGTTTTTGTTCCAATTGAGAAATGTACACGTCTTTATAGAATAATTAAATTTAGAGACTGAAAACTAATTAGACTAAACTTATTTAAGATATATATTTTTTGTTATTTTCAAAATAATAATAAATATAGTCATCTAAGTATGCCCGTTTTTGAAGGAGATAATATAATTGGAAACTAATCTCTCTTTGACTTAGTTGCCTATATAATTACAATGTTAATATATGTATGTATATAGCAAGTTGGATCGGTGATGATAGATCATTAGAGACTTATTTTAATGCAAAGAATAGTGAACTTTGTTTGGGATTAACTGATTGGAGAGAAAAGAAGGGGGTAAATAATTCAAGGCATTAAAATGCATCAGAATCGACGACTTATTTACAAAAAATATATGAATTCAAAAATATTCTCACCTTGGAGTCTTCAATGTCTTTAACAGCTTCATTGTTATTGATCATCAGAGTGAACTTCTTCTTCATCAATTTAATAAGTTTCTTGCCTTCGTGCTCCGCGACAACTGTGTTTGTACATACGAAGCTAGTTACTTCTTTGGAATTTTGGTCTACATCCAGATGGCCAAGGGTCCTCATATATATGAACTGACCATTTTTTGTCATCAATCGATAACACGATTCACCAACCAAGCGATGTTTGTCGTACACTGATAAATAATAATAAAGAAATTGAGTAAAATTGTTGCTAGGTTAAAGATATGCAGTTGGTCAAAGATATTAAAATGCTTTTTTGTTTTCCAAAATCTTTCTACTTTCATCAAATCTTTCTTTAAGAGAATAAATCAGCCACCTATTAGAACACGATATGAGGAATTGGAGTAAGCTTATTAAGTATAATACTTTGCCTGGAAAGGTCTATTTCGTTGTAAAAAATAATAAGAATAGTGCGTTGAAACTAGCAAGAAAAAAAATACGATGTAATGTATATTTTTTTTAATAAATTTAAAGATTTAGAATTTATATATTAGTAAATAATCATGGTATTTGTTAGACATACATTGCCGATTCGATTAATACATACATGAATACACTGTGAGGAAAGCTTTACGTTTATCCAAAAACATGAATATAATAAAATTCTATTAAAGCGCTGGTTTAAGCTTCGAACCGTTTTCAGATTAGAGTGGGAGGCAGTTGTCTGCGCAAAATTTTATATAGCTCTACGTAATAAAAATATTTGTAAATAAAACACTAGATTGTAATAAGAAAGAATTACACATTTTATAAATTATATTATAAGAAATGTTAATATAAAAATACAAATGGGTATTATTAATTTTTATGGGTTCCATAGAAAATTTACAAAAAAAATTGCCATATGTTTTCTATATCTAACTCTTAAACAAAAAACAAAGTATCGCTGCAAAGAGATGATATAGCAAAATATTGGAGAAAAGTAAGAACATAATTACCAAATAAAACATTTGAAGGACCTTAAAAACAGATAGAACTAAGAATTCTGTCAAATATGAAATTGTAGACTAACTTCCTCATAAAAACAGTATCACTTAATAATATTTATAAAAACAATTATTTGTCAACCTCGACAGACCTCCTCTCATTCCAAATCTCACGACACATTGAATGTTATGACTGACACTCTTAATGTTATGACTGACTATTTTCCACGTCATAAATTTTATACTTAATAGTTAAAAATTTGGTTAAAATGGTTGAAATGTGTGTGAAAGATTAGATTTATTCACAACACTTATGTATCGGGTAGACCTCCCGTTTTCTAAGGCTTTTTACCATTTTTTAAATATGTAGGAAAAAAGTTTTACTTTAAAGTATTATATCATATTACCTTACGTGTAGCAATCTAGGACAATAAATTCCAAGCATCTATTGTTTCCAGCCTATATTTTATATGAACATTGTTTAAACTCTTAAGCATATTTTGTATGTGCATAAATAAATAACTGGGTCTCACAAAGTGAGAAAATAGGTTATATACTTAAAATTTCCATTTAATAATTATGTACAGACTATTTTGAATTCTAGTTAGACATGCAGTTATTAAAGAAGAATAATTGTTTGTAGGATTAATAGGGACTAATAAAGTTTCAAGTTACGTTTAACAATTTAACAAGCCTAAATATTGTGGGAGGTTTGTGTGTGTGTGTGCGTGTGGAGAGGGGTATGACGTATGATATTTAATCAATACGTATATAAATAAATAAAAAACTACCAAGTAAGTTTTGGATTTCACCTAAAACATACTACTGTTTAACAACATTTATTGTTTAGAAGTTAAGTAGTAATCTTTAAACAAAACAATATCTCCGTCTGTTGCCGCCACTAATATATTGAAATTCTTGTGTTGTACGTCAATACTTATTTGTTTAATACTTTCAGTAGTAAGTTCTTAGTAACTACAAACTATACACTAAGACCTTGAAGTTATGTTTCCTGTTTGTGCACGTCTACATCTTAATAAGTCTTAATAATTTAGTTAACAGTTTCATGTAGCTTAAGAGATGTTAGAAATTTCCACATACGCATTGTAGTTTTTTGTCAGGTTTACATATGACTATGTTATATTGTATGTGTTGTGGTTATTTTATTTAGTAGTGTTTCAAGACCTGTTTGTTTATTGTAGTATTTTCAATATAATGGTCGTAATTTTACGCTCTTAATAAGTTTTAACTGGGTAGAATATTATTATTAAAAATGTTATGTTACCTCACATTGAGAACGTCAAAGATAAATTAGTTTAACTTAGTAACTAGTTACGTTAACGTAGTTGAGTTAATTGGTTGGTTGTGAGAAAAGAAAAGAGCTCAAAACTTACAGCCATACTAAAATACCATGTGTAGAATTCTAAGAAGAAAGCCACAAAAAAGATGGCTGTGTTTTATCACACAAGAGAGAAAATAAATACATACATATAGAGTTAAGGTCTAGGTAATGCCATGAATTCCGTTACTTGGGACTATTAGAAATAAAATCAAAGGAGCTTTTACAAATTACTTGAATAGTATTTGTAATAAATATAAAGGAACTTAAAAAGTAATGAAATCAAAGTCTAGTACGCGGAATTCAAGAATAAATTAATAATTTTATCAACTTATATAGTTACATTAATTTAAATTTAATAAAACAAACTTGATATGACGTACCTGCATGATATCACAACTCTGGAATTAAATTTGAACTGTTATCAGACGCAGCACTTGTAAATCGCAATGAATGATTGTAATCATAAACTTAATCCGGAATACTGATTACAAGGTAATTATGTTTGTACAATATTCTATTGTTTTAGGCGCAATCAAATTAAACGGACAAAACTTTTAAAACGTCAATTTTAGTACTGTAAATAAGTAATTGAAAAATGTATACAAATCAGATTAAAATATATTTATATTTTATTTGGCTATTTAGTCAATACCTTGTCATAATAGTCAATATCATGTCATAACATTTTTAATATATTTTAAACAGAGATAATAGTGTGACGACACCGATTGCTATAATGTCCATCTTATATATAGTGGCAAAAAAAGGGGGAATGATTTTCCTCACATTAAATTCGTAATATCGAAGCGACACTAGAATACCTCTTAGATCTTCAGCTCATCAAAAATTTTAGTTTTAAACGGCCCCTAGAGGCGTTTTCAGAAATGAACTTTCGATACAAAAATTTCATTTACAAATCTTAAATATCGCCGTATTGCCATGTCTTTAGTCTTATTTAGATCCAAAGAATAAAATTGTTAATTGAGCATGAGTGCTTAGTTTTCTTAGAGATTGGTATAGAAAAAAATATTTTTAATAATTTTGGACCTGCCGTCAGAAAGGTTAATATTGTAATATTTATGCATATACATAGTTTACTTCAGTCAAGTGACTTAAAAAGATTGATACTTCTGCATGTATCGGTAAACTATTGTTACAACACTTCAAAATAATTTTGATGAGAAAATGAGATCACGAACTTTTTATTTCAAGTTTCATTTATTTCACACTTTGGAGACGAGGTAGATTTATTTACCTGTTACTTTTTGAAAGATTATCCTAAAAATTATCGAAACTCGATATTTTTAAATATATATACTATCATAACTAAATTTTATTCCTAACCTTATTTTACATGATAACATCACAGTAAAAACCTAACACAAGCAAATATTTGTTTTAGGTTCCCTTAAACCTAAATCTACTACATAGAAGAATATTCCTATACGTCAGACGTTGATGCATTTTACGGAAAACTACATTAATCGTAAATCTATACCTTTATTTCATTTTCATGTGAATACTATCACGAAAAAGTAACTTAATAATAGGTTTAAATTTGATAAAATATCTAAGTATATCCGACTTACATTTGAAACCCTTAATAAACGTAATATACCGTAAAGTAAAATAATTGCAATTTAAAAAACGAGAGAAAGAAATATTTTCTTTTCCTTGATGGGACACATGATAAATTATGTCGTATATTCAATTTTTTTTATATCATAAAAATTACCGCTTATATAGGAAACATTCCAATTCATTAATGAAAATCATAAAAAAATATTTTTCATATTCACCAAATCCTTTCATTTCAAATTAATTCAGTGCCTATCGAATTACTAATTAATACTCACCGTTAAAACTAATCACTCCAAAATTCGACGTCAATTTCCATTATAAATTATTACATATAATGGAATAAATTTTGTTATTATTTGGAAAAAATATATACAAGATAAAGTTATTTCATAATGTGATATCCATACGGCACCCTGACAGAAGAAAATACCTAACATTAACGAGGTGTGATTTTCACAGGTTTCAGTTATATTTGATATTGTGGGTGAAGGTATGTGCATGATATGGATGCGCTTATGTCAGACTCTGTTACGACTGCTTTCGAATTTCGATTGAAACCGAAATTGTTTTTGCCCTTGGGATATTCAAAGCGACGCTTATGCGCTTTGACTGATTTTAGTAAATATTGACTGACAACTCCAAGAACGAAAACTATCTTTGCAAATGATGCCAATGCGCTAAACCAACATTTTTATTAAGGTCTAAAATCTTAATTTTAAAAAAAAAATTTGAACTCTTAGTGCAAGTAGTAATAAAAATTAATTTGTTTATAAAATAAGAACATCATACTTTAAATAAAATATTTCCAACCATGTGTCGAAATGACAAGATATTTTGTTTTTTATTTTTATAGAAATAAAGCACCTAAATGCATTTTACATTGTGTTGGAAAAAAATAAAATATTTATCATGGAATACGAATTTCAGTTAACGTGGTAAATAATTAATTGATTCAAACTTTATTGGAACATTATGTTTAAATTTTATAAATTATTTTTTCCAATCATGATTAATAAACAAAAGTGTTATAAATGTATGTACTTGACATAAAAAAAATTAAAATTATTGTCATTTGGTAAGTTAATGTAAAATTTTTATTTGTTAAATTGATGGTTATTACTTCTGAATAAATTCTGAATAAAATTATAATTTCATACGTAAAAATAACCTTTCGTATAGAAGAAAACATGTAGGTAATAAAATAATAAAGCACTATAAATAGTACGCATTTTCTGAAATTTTGTAAGCGCTTTATGCAGAAAATTTAAATCAATTTGAACAATTGCAATTGCAAAGCTCAAATACTCTTATGCTAATTCATATCACATGTTTATTATTTACAAATTTTATAAACAACAAAAAATGCAACATACTATCTCAGATTCTCAAAATGACTGAATTTTATTAGGTTTTTATAGGAGTAACAAAAAATATTTTACGCAGGGGTAAAACCGTTATATAGAAAAAAGGACATACATATACATAAACTATTATATACAATATTCAGAAAAAAATTGACCAAAGAGTCGCAGGCTTCTAATAAAAGAAAAACCATTGACTATACTTACTTTCCCTTAATGCGATGATCACCCAGCGAACATCATCTCTATGCATAAAGTTCATTGCATTAACTCCATTCACTTCATGAGTCATGTAGCCTGTGACAAGAGCAATGCGTTGCTCACACTGTATTATCTCGCCGTCTATAGAATGTCGAGTTCGATACTCCATTTTAAAAGACTCGAGACCACTTTCTGTTATAAAAGTCTCTGTTGTAGGTCTCACCATACCAATAAATACCTGTGAATGTCATATCATTGCATAAAAATTAAAATTATTTAATTCTTTTGTATTAATATTATCAGTTCATCAATTTAACTCTTAGAGAAAACTATATTACTTTTTCAATTACTCTATTTTTCTCAGTGAAAATCAATATCGGTTTTGAAAATGTAAGTTATATTTGCATTTAGCGTCGGATACTTATATAAATTTCAATTATTACGTACAACACGAAACTCATCAATGCTGTTTGTATTACTACTGAGGTCGGTAGAGATATGCCTTTTGTATTTCCGTGGATAATTCAATAAAGTATTTTGATTTAAAAGAACCATAGCAAACGGGATATCAGATTTCAAACTCAACGTCAATTTTATTTGAGATACGGATTTATTAAAGGCCTGTTTTTAGTTTTTTTTGTTGCTGCTTCCTTTCCCAATTGATTTGTAATCGGACTTGTTTCATTAACCATGTTGAATAAACAGAAAAGTAGTAAATACCAACCTCATTCTATAATATTCGTATAAAAAAGTGACAAATATTGAAATGAATTTTTATATATGTATGTTATAATGATTCATCTAAATAAGGATTTTCATGACATGATAACTTCTCAGCATTCTATGGATTAACCGTGCGTGTGCCGGGACCATCACGTTGCAGGAATTGGAGCTTCAACAGACAGGTACTTGCGACCCAGGTGTAGGTTTAAGGGGCCCCAATTTAACGCGCGTTATAAACTCACTTCCACCGTCGAAGTGTCTCTCTCTAGCTAAACGAATTTGAAACGAACCTACTAGGGCTGTCTTCAAAGAACGTTCTAAGAATTAATTGATGTTAGTTCTGTACAGATCTAAGACTTTTAGTAAGATGTAGAGAGATTTGTCTGTTATACCTCTTGTTCCCACTTCTACTGCGTACAAATTTACGACGAAACTATTTTAGTGAGAATTGTTATATATGATACAATGATTTATCTAAACAACAATTTTAATTATTATTATTACTTATCTATTATATATGAACTACTAAAACGGAAGCAAAATTCTAATAAAGGAAATTATTAATTAAGCTAAATTGTTATAAAGGAAATTATTCCGACAAATAATTCAATGCAGCTTTGAACTCATAAAGCATTATTATTAATAGACAATTAGGTGAACAGTGAATATTGACATAGAAATCCCACAAGTAATGCATAACGGTTTGTGATAAATATAATTTTCATAAATAGTTAATTCATATTAAAATTTTCATAAATGAACTGTTTATTTTATTTTTCCTTTACTTACTATGTCATTTCCACTAGCGAATGGATTTTCTCCTCTTGCTCGAACCCTACGACCAATGTGGACAATGCTGTCAAAATAAACCCCGGCACGATCTGACTTTCTTAAAGATCCTTCTACATGACATGTGATGTATTCAGGAGGATTGGAACGCTGCTGTGACATTTTTTTGAACCTGCATCAATGGGTTTTACAATTTTTAATGTTACTTTAATATTTGACAATTTTTTTCACTTAGCATTTTAACCAAATAATATGCGTTGTAACATGAGCACAGCGGAGCGATAAAAAATTATAACAATATTAATGTGTTTATCTTTAATCTCTTCATATTTTAATTATTCTTATTAGTAATAAAACCATGTGTACCTTAAAATAAAATTACGTTTCTCATTAATCAAGCTTTCCATAACCTTTTTCTCAGCTTCTAATTCTCTTGGCAGTAATAATTCCCCGTTTGATCCTAGAGTACAACTTCTAGGGTAAATCTGTTGTCTTAAGAGTTGATGGTCGTCTTCATGGATGATATTTAGAATATTTTGACCAAGAAGTTCAACCTGCATATTATGTTTTATAAAATTCACTAAACGATAAAAATTAAAGAAAAAAAAATTGGTATGTGTTGAACTTTCTCTTCTACATTTATTTTAAATTAATGGATTTGAGCTTATTGTCAGTAAAAAAATAAGTCAAACCTTTATATCAAGCCTTTAACAGCAATGTACCTCGGAATATCCTAGGTATTCTTGAACATTTGGAGACACAACGACAACTAATCCTTTATATGTGATAGTGATGAGGAAGCCTTTGAGATTTTTCAAAAGTCCTTGGATAAACTGCATGCTGAATTCAGGGGAGCGATCGATGCTATTCCCGAATACTGTAAACAAAGATTTAAGAATCTAAACAAAAGTAAAAATAACATAAGTAAAGTTTTTCCAAAGGTAAGAAAGATGGATTGATGTTTAGTAGAGTTTTGGCAGAAATTTCAAATAAAGTAGCCCAGCGTAGTAATAATGATTTTTATTATCTTGCAACAGTCAGAAAAATAAAGATTTATTTAAGTTCTCATGAAAGTTTGCAATAGCATTTTATACCATTGTTCGTAAAGTAGGTCCAATTAAAAAAAATATCGAACTAAATTGCTCCTTAGACGTAAACAATTTCAAAACAGATATGTTCTTTCTCTATTATTACACATAAGTACTCCAATTTTATTTATTAAAATGTATTATAATGATATTTGTATGGTATTGATTTTTACTATAACTTATTTGATAAGGACTGTTTAATGCAAATAGAAAGTACTTTTATATGTATATATTTATAAAAACTTGTTGCTTTGGATAGCTCCTGACGTAAGCCAAGCCTTCAGTTAAATATGAATTCTAATATAAAATCATAAAATGTAATAAAATAGATAATATAAATAAAAAAACAAAAAACAAAAACGACTTAAGAAGTTTTTAAACCTATACTTCATTTTTAACACTTCAATTCGTTAAAATAAAAAGTGTTTGCAGATTCTAAAAACTATATCAAGGAAGTTTTGAAAAACCATATCATGTCTTAAAATTTATTTATGACAATGAAATAAAACTTTTAAGAGGACAATAAAAGAATGTATTAAGTAAGCAATTAATATCCTGCCAACCTGTTTATAAAATGTGGAAATAGAAATAACAACTTGCTTAAATAATAGTTTGCTTTAATTTTCATATGAGGGCATAAGTTAATGTTTTTTTATATATCTGGCATCAAAATATAATAAACGAAGCTTATATTATTAGGTTTTATCTTAAAATTTTTGTTATTTAATTAAATAGAACAAAACGATAAATTAGTTGAAATTAAATTCTTACAACAACATAAAATGTTTAATCATCTTGGTTCGATACTATTAATTTCATATGTTAATGAAGAAGCAAAGATTGTATTTCAATATGAATAATGTATGAAGGTTGAGTGCTGGCAAAAATCAAAGAGAGCTTATATGTATATGCCTAGAAAACATTAAGCAGTGTTTAATAGTCTTTCCTGGTATACGTAATTTCTAAGGATGGATCAAGTCCACGTAGTATTCTAGAAAACGTTAATTAAATATAAAATGTTTTTAGTATCGTTTTCTTACCAGAAAATGGTATTAAAAACCTTTAAAAAAAGGACTAAGTACATACTTAATTAATGAAATGATTACTTTTACACCCTCGTCCAACAGTGAACGATGATAAGTTGATTTGAATGAATGTATAATGGCAACTTAAAGTTATACATATAATTGGATGACTCCTTTTTAAAATTTTATATTATCAATATTCTTAGCATCTTCTATTGTATGTGCATTAATGGAAAGTTATAATAAAGTAGAAACTCACTGAACCAGAGTAATAATAAGCCTATAAATAGTTTTAGAATAAATATTGTTGAGCTCTTTCTAGGTAGAACATTGTTTATTGTTTTGTTTTATTCGTGTTCAGAGTTTTATTTTACTAATATATGAATATTTATTTTTTTATATCCTACTACTATTATAAAGGCAAAAGTTTGTAAGTATGGATGTATGGATGTTTGTTACTCTTTCAAGTAAAAACTACTGAATGGATTTGAATGAAACCTTACCACAATATAGCTTATACATCAGAATAACACATAGGCTAAAATTTTTGAGGTTTCTAATGTGAGGTCGTAAAAAAACACATTTTTTGCGCTTACTTTGCAAACGCTGACTGAATCCTACAAGATACATCAAAACAATGTACTACAGTATCGTACAACTTAAAAAGGTCTACAAAAGAGTCCGTAATGGTATATGTTTATCTCTTAGGAATAAGCCACAATAACCATTTTTTTATCCTTTACTTTGTACGAGAAATAATGGCTTATTTACGAAGCGATTTTAAGCAATACAGTATTAATCCTTATCCAATTAAGTATCTTAAATACATTATGCATTTAATAAAGATCAATATGGCTTTTTACAGTATGTAAATTAAATAAATATTTTCGAAGATATCACAGATTTAAAATGCGGATTCATAGCAATTTCGGCGATAAATAATAACGCGGACGAAGTCGCGGGCAAAAACTAGTTAACTTATAATTATGTATATGCTAAATACATATACAGGGTGACTGGTGAATTACTATCGATACTTGAGGACGTGATATTTGACGATCATATATGACAAAATAAAAATTAATATAAAATAAATATTAATAAACTTCTAAGTAAAGTTAACCAAAAGTTATGTAATTAATTACGCATCGTGTGAACACCCTACAGATTAGGTATACACACACACACACACATACGCGTGCGGCGGCGTGGTGTTGTATCAGCACGCCGCCGCACGCGTCCACACTTGGAACACTTGGAACGTGTCCACACTTAATGTCCACACTTAGTGTCTCAAAGTCCTAAGGGGTGGTCATGGACATGGGATGTTATACATAGTTTTTATGAGGGATACACAGGTGTTATATAAATTCCAGCCATCTATTGCAATTCGGATGTTTTGAATTTCACTGCCTGCTTCACAAGCGAGGGTCTGTGGTCTATCAAACCTACCAAGTAGTGACCTGGTTTTGTCCATTGTATGTTCTCACACTGCCGACTTCGTTGCATGCCTATTTTTAAAGACCGAGATACGTTCCTTTACCTCTAAAGCCACAGCCATAATCAAATTTGTGTACAACCGCTTGTTTTAAAGGAATGGTCTAAAAAGGTCTTAAGAATTTACTCACTTTTTTTTTTTGGTTTATATATAGTAATTGATTGATTATTAACAAGAACAATTAATAACAAACATTTTCATCTCATCTGCCCGTGATCACGTTTGCTGCAAAGTGACCAAAAAGTCAGGACTGTGTAGTTTAAAATAATAAGAAACGCATACTACATCCGATTCTATTCGTTTTATTTAATAAACACTAATTATTCACTTATTTGAACTTATATATTTCAAATATACTTTACTAGCGCTAATACATTAGCTTTGATATAATGAGGAGGACTGCAGCCGGCACCTATGAATTTCAATTCCACTTAATCAAAATACACTAGAGCAGATAATGGAACTACAATTAATAGAATATAAAAGTTAAAAAATGGAATTTTAATTGTTATATGTAACATTTATGGACATTGATACAAAATTCATTTGGTATAGTCAAAAAAGGAATTTTTAAAAACTATTGGTTTTCCAAATCTATTTCTCTTATTTTTAACATCAAATGAAGCCTTGTCTAGGATTAAAATTTATTATTGTGGAAGAAAAATCAATACACAAACAACTTATAAGGTTTATATAATTATGGGAAATTATCTTGTTTGAATATTTGATGTAGAATAAAAGATGAATTAAGACGGTAAATTGAGAGCTTAGTCAAATTGTTTTTTAAAGAATTCTTGGATATTTCGAGTTTATTGGTATAATATTAACATCAATCTGGTTTTCCATTTATAAAAAACGTTAGATACAGTTTTTTTTTATAAGTTTAGGCTAGAGTTTGAGGTGGTATTTGATTAATGTTTGAACATTTCTTAGGAATAACATTAAACCATAAATGCTGTCTTAAGATATGGATAGACAATCTTTTGTAGAGCTCTTAGAAGTTATAACATTACTACTATGTATATGGTTTCAAAAAATTTCCTTAATTTTTTCTTCTAACTCCTTAAAAAAAAGGGGCGGAGTCCATTTTTTTTCTACGTATTAGATATTGTGATAGTAATTTATATTGCAAAATATGTTTAATAACAAAATAATTAATTATGAAATAATGTATCTGATAGACACATACGTACGTATAATATTAATAGGGATGGAATTTTAATATTTCGAAAACATTACTTTTTGGTATCGTAAAATGACCTTTTTATTTTACTATATTTTAGAAAATTTAGATTTTCCAAGCAATATTTTTTCATCTATCAAACTTATAATAAGCAGTTTTTATTGTTGACCTTGTGAAGTTAAACATGTTTCAGTGTTTTAATGCACGATGTTATATATTATAAAAGTTACTTCCGGCATTTGTTAATGCCACCAATATTATTACAATGATAATTTCTTGTAGTGAGAATAAATCTTCGGCATCTTTTTCAGATGCATGGATTATTTCCTCACCTATTGAATGTTTAAACTTACATTAAAATTTAAAAAAATATGAAATTATATAAATAAAAGGAACACTGATTGAACCTCATAATTTACAAGAATTTATACTTATACGTGGTGTAACTATTCTGTGAAGTCTGAACTTCTGTTATTGATTATTGGCTTATGTATTTGCTTCAAGCAATAATAAAGTGAGACGGAATTATTGTATTTTTTTTTCTACAAAGTTGTCACCAAGAAAAATTAAAAGCATTACTCTGAATACATTGAGTTTAGTTGTTATATTTAATAAGGATTACTTGAATTTTACTAATATCGATGTTAATAAACTAATCAATAACTTTCATAAAATCAATGACAAATCAAGCACAATATTAGAAGTAAAAATCTCAAAGTTCACACTAACACCTTATGAGAATGTACCTTATGAGAAAATGATCCAAAACATTCTTGCATTTTAAGTTGCATCTTTTTTCTCATCTCTAATTACTCTACTTCATACTTGGCTTCATGTATGAAGTAAATAAAGAGATAATTAATATTTTTACGATAGTAATCAATTATCACTTGTGCAACCTTACTATGATGGAAATGTTGTTTATTGTTATAAATAAAAATAAAGAAATTTAAAAGCTTTTAAATTATAGTTAAATATAATCATAACTTTTTTTATCAAGTAATTCATACAGCATGTGTCAAATTTGAGTTTAAAACATGAAGCGTTCCATCTCTATATGAAATCAGCATGGTTGCAGTAATAAGAGAATATGATTGGTGACTTCCACATACTCACAAGTTCACATGTCCACACGTCCGCACGTCCACACGTACACAAGTCCACTCATCCACTCGTTCACACGACCACACGTCCACGCGGCCGCACGTCCACGCGTCCACGCGTCCACGCGTCCACGCGTCCACGCGTCCACGCGTCCACGCGTCCACGCGTCCACGCGTCCACGCGTCCACGCGTCCACGCGTCCACGAGTCCACGCGTCCACACGTCCACAAGTCCACACGTCCACATGTCCACACCTCCACACGTCCACACCTCCACACGTCCACACCTCCACACGTCCACACGTCCACACGTCCACAAGTCCACACGTCCACACGTCCACAAGTCCACAAGTCCACACGTCCACACATCCACACGCCCACACATCCACACGCCCACAAGTCCACTCATCAACTCATCCACAAAAACACATGTCCACACGTCCACACGTCCACCCGTTAACATTCTTCTATATGTATTTAAGTCGTCGAGTTAGGCTACACACCTCTGACTATACCTCGTGACACTCCTCAATCTCACAAAAGTTGATCATTTTTAGCATTCAAGAATGCGTTGTACTACCTGCTCTATTTTTATCTTTTAGAATAAAAAGCAAATTATCCATTGGTTCCTATCCTAAATTTATCCATTAATATACATCATAACAACCCAGTCCGAAATTGGATCGTTTGTTGATAAAATAAATGTTGAACAAACATATTGTTAAAATGTTTTTGAATTATTTGGATGTTATTCAATTTACGATGTAAATATATAATAATAAGGCTCATTTATTATTGATACCAAGATTCGTAAAATCATTTACCTGCTAAAATATTATATGGTATTTTTTATATAGTTTATCATTATCACCTTTCCAATTCAGTTATAAAAAAAATATCAAAATATTTCACTTACTAAATACAAAGGTGTATTTTTATCAATATAAAATAAATTAATAAAAGAATAAAAATGAAATTAATTTACATACAATACAGTGGATTTCCTAAGGCAAATATAATACTATGCTTTATTGAAATAAGTACTAAGTTTAGGCACTTCTAATTTATTTTGTTAACTATATGAGAATAATAATGACTAATCTGTTAAATATCTACTACTTCTGTAAGAGTATATACATTATAAATATGTTAATTTATGAATATTGAGATTTATTTTATACATGCAACATTCTATTAGAGACTAGATATAATGATATAGAACTTTCAACCTTACAGCTACAAAAATATAACAGTATTTCCCTCAATCGTGATTCACAGCAAATAATGATCGGTTATAAACAATACCTCAATTAATGTTTTGACTGCATATACTAAGGATACCAACACCTACTAGCATACCGTTATGAATCATACCAGATCATATTTTGCGTAGTACTTAGTTCACGGTTCCATAAGTTGTTGTTAGTATTAAAGTTTGTAAGCGGCCTTACAACTTTATTAAGTACATTAAAATGGTGGACAGTGGTACATGCCTTTATGTAATGCATGAACAACTTAAAAATATAAATGTATTTTACATTTTGAAATTATATATTTTAATTTATAAGTTGACTTTCATGATTTCTGTTAACCCTCGGGCTCCACGTTTGTAGTACTAATAAAAGCGTGGTGCTGTTTTATTTTTAAATAGACATAAGTAAACACGAAGGAAATTGTATTTGCGATAAAATTAATTAATGTTGTTAGTTTTGCAGACATTCAATATTGTTTCAGAATATTTTTAAATTAATAAGTTATATTTTTCCTTCGATTAAATTATGTCTACTTCCTTGTTGAAGGTAAGAGTAGAAAAATAATTAATTATCTTTAACTTGAAAGGAACGAATTTTCATCTAAAACTAAACTATTTTTAAATATTGTTTCTAAAAGTTGAAGCCTTAATTTTTATTAAACATTTTAGTTCTTCTTAAATATATTCGTAGCTTGTTAGAGTAATTTTTTTATTAATACGTTCATAATATTCAAATGTTATTTACTTAAGCATCTTCAAAGTAATATGTACCTAAATATTTATTTGCAGATATAAACGTAACAATTTGGATAGATGCTTCGAACATGCTTATAACAATTACCTACCATATTTTGCTGCTTTATAGTAATAATTACCAATTCAAGGTGTTTGCATTCCATAAAGTAACAATTAGCGTTTGGAATGCGGCGAAACTAGAAAATAATATTCACAAAACAAAGCAATATTATGAACTAGATAATGACGTCATAAGAAACATATATAGCTTAATTGGATCCTAGACTTGTTAAAGAGAAATATAATGAACAACGTATATTTATGTTCTGTGAAATACTCTTGAGTAAAGAAAAGACCAATAAAACATTATTTGTTATTGTTTGTTCGACTATTTAACTAATATGGATAATTTTCAGAACAATATAAAAACTGACTGAATATAAGATGTTACAGTTACTGAAAGAAAGGGAATGAGTAATTTTCATTGAACCCATTCATTTTAATAAACTTCCGCTTTTTTTTCTAATATGAAAAGTCTTTGCTTACCATGTTGATGGGAGCGCAAGTAATGAGCTGTTAGTCGCAATATACTTGTTTTATCTAACTTTCGACCGGGTCTTACAACAGTTGGGACAATGGATGCTAGACGTGATATAGACTGGTTCATTTTATCCCGTCGCTGTTTCTCAGCTTTGTTTCTGACTTCCCTGGGACTTTCTCTGCAAAATATTAATAAATAGTGATTACTATAGACCCTTGTATCTGTATCCGTATATATATATATATATATATATATATATATATATATATATATATATATATATATATATATATATATATACGATTGTAATGTACATTTTCATAAACATAAACGGGGAAAAGTTTTAGGTATTATTAAAAGCAACTCGAAAGCCCTATTAAACATAATATCAATATCTTTTTAACTATTGTAATTTCATTGAAAGAAATTACAATAGTTAAAAAGAAAACCCACGCTAAGCTATGGAATCTCCTTCAAAATTATATAAGAACTGATATTATTTATATTAATGAAAATTAATAAAGAATAGTACAAATATATTTTTCATATTTCAGACTATCATAACAAACTTATTAAAAAAGTAAATTAAGTCAATAAAAATAACATTTCAAAAAATATACAAGATATAAATATATCAGTTATAAATGTATTTTTAAATTTAAATTCCACAGGTTTTAATTTTTATTAATCTAAATAGAAAAAAAAATAATTGTATCAAACCTTTCGAAATCAATAAAAATAAAGGAAACTTTACGCTACATAATAATAAAATCATTTTTAACAGCTTTTTTTTTTCAAGATATAAACTATTCTAACATCTTGAGGTACAATAAAATTGTCGTCTTTATCTAAATTATGTAAAAGTCTCGCTCATTGCAATCGATGAGATAGTGATAAGGACTTTACTCAACTTAAATATCAACCTAAGCATGTAGCACGCTTCCTTTCGACCGAGCGAATTAATGGCTATACATGGCAATGGCTAACCTATGCTTATTAGTCTGCCTATTATTGAAAATATTACAAATAAAACGTGTTGTGTAATAGGAGCCAATCGATTGTATATACTCGTAGTACATTGCACACCTGAGCATACCTGAGAATTTACTACTCTGCATTCAAAATATTATTGTTGTTTCAAATGTGCTTTTATATACTTACATTTTACAATATGCCCAGATTTTCTTATAAAGACTTAATAATTTAAAAGTATTTTAAGATGGGTTCTCTATTTGTAAAGGTAATACTGCAGTTATTGTTTTATTTTGAATTAAAATTGTTATTTTATTTTTTTTTTCTTGTATAGTATATTTTGTTATGTCAATTTTTTTATAATGCAAATAGTTTTGTAATTACAACCGAAAATAAGCAACATTTAAAATTACATCTATAATATTGTATGTTTCAGGTACGTTGGAGCGCGGTGTTCTTGCCAAGATTATATATAGCTTTCAACTTGCCATTAAAATCTATTACTCCCGATCGCCAAATCGCATCGGAAGACGAGGTGTCAGAAACCACTTTCATTTACGATAAACACTTATATATATGAGAAGACATATATTTGCTGAATACTTTCTTTTTTAAATATACATATTTTTTAATTTTAATAATTTTTGTTTTTTATACTCAATGAGTTTTAATATATTATAGTAAACATTTTTTAATAAAGCCGTAGTATAAACTATACATACATTTATCAAATGTTTTAAAGGACTTAAAACGTATTACTAGTTCGAATAATGCCGTGATATTACACTAATTAGTTAACATTTAATCATTGAAATCAACCAATGAACAGTCTGATTTGTATCTATAAAGAAAATAATTAATATAGTTGTCGTACGGTACATCACAATATTTTAGACACGATCTTATGCCAAAATGAAAGTAAACTAAGGCGGTTGGCATAAAGTATAATATAATTATATGAGCCAAATTATTAATTTATTTATGAAAAAAGCTTTCTTTTCAACTGACTTTAAAATGGAGGAGATTATCATTTGTTTGTATTATTTTTATATTTGTTACCTAATAACTTTTGACCGGGTTAGGTGGTTTTTGTGATTTCTTTTTCATTTAAAAGTTGGTGCTTCCCGTTTGGTCCAATTCAATTTGGCCCACTTCTGACAATGGCATCCACGAGAGAACCAAATAAGTTAAAAATTTGCATAAAGTATGTGTGCCACAAATGTACAAGTAACTTTTAAACCACCCGATTTTAATTTATTTATTTATAAGCATAGACCTAAGACCATAGATCTGATTAAGGAATCCTGAGAAGATTGAGGAAAATCCTTGAAATACAAGTTAAGTAATGGTAATTATTGTTATATTTGATTTTCATTGTCGGTAGATATATTTTGTATTCTTGTTATTAACCGCCTTCGAAAGATTGGGAGGAGGTTCAAGATTTGTCAGAATCTTTTTTTATGTATGTAATTCCATAGATAACAAGTTATTCGTATGAGACTAAAATTAAATTTCACCATTTCAATTTCGAGTAACACCACTAGATACGGACGAATAAACTTCAACTAAATAATTATATTGCCACAGAAAACCGCCCTGTAGATCCGTATAGATAGGCACTGCACTCTGCTTCAAAACAAAAAGTTACCTACCTACCATTAGTGCACTTTATAAATGGCGCTCATTTAGTCACCGATAGTGAGTTGAACCTGAAAATATTCTAATAATTTAGAAATTTTACCCATATAGCTGTAAAAAGGGAAAGGGCAACCGGCTCTCTCACTCAACGGACGAAACGCAGCCATTAAAGACTACTTCATGCCAATTTTCTGAGAGAGGGTTTTACTTCCCCGGTTGAGCCAGCCCATGTTCGAGCTGTAGTAAGTTGGCCACAGCTAGGCTCTACTACCTAAACTTGATTATTAGAAAGTAAATAAAAATGGTGTTCGTTTATACACATTAAGTGTTAATTCGATTTTAGTGCAGATATTTAGAATTTATTATCAGACAGGTTCCGTGAGGATTTAGGAAATAGTAGGTATTTAGTAGCTCCTCTGTTGTGTTTTTTTGTAGAATTCGTTTTTTTAATTTAAAAATACTTTTTATTTATTTTTTTCTATTTTTAAATTTAATATAATGACACAAGCAAAAGGCCTACTTGATGAGAGTTATTAACATTTTTTGCTTTATTTAAGACCTAAATATTTAAAAATCCAATACGATAGTAAAGTCCATACACGTGCAAGAAGTTATAATGAGACGAAAAATAATTAAAATTGATTTGTGATGAACATAGACATTTAGGAAATCTATATTTAAATTAAATAAGAATAGTGAATATTTTTAGACAAGTTCCGGTCATGACATATCTCTTAAAAAGTATCTTTAAATCAAATTTATTCACACACGTTCACTTTTAAAAAAGCCACCGAACAAAAGTCAGGCAGCCTTCTGATAACTCGTGCAGGCATTGTGGATAACGGAGGCAAAAATGTTTAACAATTTGTGATAAAGATTCAATGATTATTTTAATAATTAAAAGTGTCTTAACGATTCAGTCACTAGGAACATTATATTTATGTCCAACGAACGTTTATTGCCACTAAAATATACATGTCAACGAACTTATAAAATGACACCGCCAAACAGTTAAGCTGACATTTATTCCACACTATTATAAAGACGTTATATATATGTACATATTTATACTTGTACACTTTACTGCACTTATTAGCCATCGCTCTTGAAAGGATTTCACAGACATCTGGTCCTAAATCTTTTTTAGGATTATGTATGTATATACTCGGTCTAGACGATACGATTGTTACGATTACTATCTATGATAATAATAAATCACCAAATAACTTTAAAATGTATTCCATAGATCAATGAATGACATTATATGTTTATAATATATATTATGTAATTGCTATCATCAAAAATTTTCGCAACTTGTGATTAATAACTTGTAATTAATAAATTGTATGTTATCAAATAACTTTGCTTAATTATTAGTAACAAAAATTACAGTTGATAATACTATTTTACACCGACATTAATATGAGGAAAAGATTTTATAAATTTCATAATCAATTACAAGCAATACTAATTATAATGTTAAATAATACTTTATTTAAAATTCAGTAGTGTTCCTTTCGTTCGATTTAAATTTTGACTTCTTCACATTTAGGTTCAAAGTCAGGTTGTTTTACAGGTTTCATTAAAATCCTGGCATATGAAAATGTACAAAGGGATATTTTACGTACCTTTAAAGTTTTTATTTGATGACATGGTATTGATTTCGACTTAGATTCGAAATGACCGAAAGTGTTATTTATACTGGACATTTTACTGCAGATTAAGAAATATAGGCGAGTTTTTGTTATTCGAGAAGTAGGCTAGGTACATGGGTTGGTAGTCTAGTTAACGGAATATTTCCGGAGCTCATACGATGAACATGAAGTTGACAATAACTAGAAATGGACATTTTACGGAACCAAAACATCCATTGAGTTTATGTTTTTCTAAGTTAGACGTTGATTAAAATTGACAATATCGCTCTGAGTAATTTGTTGTAAAACAGGTATATTCCTATTTTATTTTATATTATTTATTTATTTCTAGTTTATATTATTTTTAAAGTTTTAAATCTACAGTTTAGGTCTATTTTTTTTTTCAATTAATTTAAAATAGGAGAAGAAATTGTCATAATATTATCAATACATAAACAAAAATAAAATTGGTGCTACCAACATATGATCATGGAAATGTATATACATATATATATTTATTACATCACAAGTAAGTTTGTTAAAAATGTATTTTTTTTATAAAACGACTCAAAAAAACAAAATATAAAAATATTGTTTCCTATTACTTTTTAATCTTTTTAATCTTCTGACAACTATTACTCTTGAGCTAGGATAATCATATTGTGCGTAATACGCAATATGAGGTCATTATATTAGGGAACAGGTGCTACATTCGTATCTGATCGTTTTTAGTTTCAGATTAAGTATTTATATTACTGTTTATGAAACAATTCTAATTCTAAAAGATAAATAATTGTGGCATCCTCCATGTCAATTAATTTAACTACCGGGTTTGATGATTTCATCTTTTGGGTACACTAAAAATTTAAATATCTTTAAGCTTACATTGATTAGAATAATATTGTTTTTATTTATAAATAAGTACAACAAGAAAATGAATGTAAATTGTTAATTGTAAATTTTAGTCCTCTTTATCCGGTCGGGGAGGTAATCACTAAAACATAGTTAAAATGGCTATAAGCAAATTGTGTATACGACTAAAATGTATGTAAAATACTTATTGAATTTTGATTCCATTGTTAATAGTCCATTAAAGTTTAATGGAAGAAAAGAATAATTTGTATATTTTAATTATTTTTTAAAAATATAATCAAAAAGCATATTTTTAATTCAGGGAATAATTTTTTTTTATACGATATGTAAGGCCCACAAGTACAAATGATAGCTATAATTAATTAATTCACATGTTCCTACTAGCAAGCGCGTAATACATATTTGGATTGCGTGAATCATATTTTCCGTTGGACACAGAATGCTATCACATTATTTTATATTAGTTATTTTATAACTAAACAAGTTTTTAATGACATTAGGGCTGTTATAAATATTGACTGACTGCTTTTAAGCTAATTGAGTTAAGTGTTATATATACTTTAATAAATATGAATATACATAATGATATTACATGTATATGTACGTTAGCGATTAAGCTTGTACACAATTTTAACAGTAGCTCTTTAGTGTTCTATATTATCTCCATAAGAAAAAAACACTTCTCTCCAACATAGCCGGAGGAATAATATCATATCTTAATATTATTCATCGGTTCACTCATCAATGAATGCAACCTACAGAATAAAATATGCGTCAGTAAAAACATCGCAATAATCTTATCATATATATAAAAGTAGTGATAAAACCAACATTTTTAATATATTAAATGATTACGAGTTTCAAATATTATAAATTACTAGCTGACCCGGCAGACTTCTTACTGCCTCAATCGATAAATAAATAATTTTTTATTAATATTTTTGGGGTTTACCTATAAGCCATAAATCTCCGTGTTCTGAAGTGTTACAGAATTATTGACATATTAGTTAGTTGTCAAATCTAATGTCAAAAAAACCGTTCGTATGGGAGATAGAATAGGGCTGTTGTTAGCGTTTTTTCCGGAAATGATTCAATTTTTTTCAGCTTTTAAACCTTCCCTGAACCTACACAAACATTTTAAGACTAAGATAAGATAAATTCATTCAGCCGTTTTCGAGTTTTAGTGAGACTAACGAACAGCATTTCATTTTTATATAGATATATAGAGATAGAATTAAATTTGAATGATGTCACACACTTCAAAAACACACTTATAAATATGGTTTACTTAGACGAATATTTAAAGGGGTAGAAGTAGGTAAGAAGCTTATACTTATAACCCTAATTCAAGTCGTAGTCACTGGAGCACCGGAGCATTTCTCGATATTATACGCTATAATTTTCCAAAATCTCTATCTCCAAAGGGGTAGCTGCTTTGATAATATGTTGAAACATCAGGGCGGAGTCTTTGTTTCCTCTATGGGATATGTGTAGGCACGCATAAATACAAGTATGATTACTATTCTCTATAAGCCGATAAGGCTAACAGCGTTGCGAACGACGCTAAAAAACCACAAATAAGAATGAAGAAGTCTCTTAAAACGTTGGAAAGAAAAAGAACCGGCAAAGCAAAGACTATGCTGGCAATTTAAGGAACAATGCTCGGTAATAACTATCATTAGGATTAACAACGTTTCAGAGATTTATCAGCACAGCAAACATACGTTCTCCCCTGTTTTAGTAGTAGTCAACACTTTTGTTTACACTATTAATTTCAAATTGCTATCCACCGTAGGCCCTAGATAATTGTTGTTCAGAAGGAGTTGTTCCTAAACATAAAACAAACACACAACACTACACAATATTATTAATTATTTACTTCTTTACTTTTTTCAATTAGCAAAATAATTTGTGTTTTTATAAATATGTAAATGATGTGGATTTAAACTAGTTATAGTAGATGAATACATACATTGTGTTAAAGTTTAAATTTTACATTTGAATAATTTAAAAAATGCCTCCATGTTAAACATATAGCTATACGATAAATTTGCAGCAATTTAATTACCGGAAATACTTTATTTATTGATATATATTATTGACATAAAAAAGTAAATTCTCAAAAAATATTAAATCATGATTATAAATATATTTTATATTATTGAATATCATGCATATATCAGCTATATCGAATATAACTGATGTATGTACTTCAGTTATACGTAAACAACTCTAACATCTGTGACAAGAGTGTTAAACCATACATTATGCAATATGAATCATTTGTCACCTGGAGCTTAACTCGTCCATGTAATACAAATAGAGACGAGTTTATTAGAAAATATTTCCTCTTTACTTATCATTATTAAGACACGCGGACTTTAACTGTATATAATATAGCATATTATGTGAATCTAACTAGCAGCAGGATCAACAAAATGAAAGTAATAATATTTTCTTACGTCTTACGTAAATAAATATTTTCTTACGTAAATTAATTTCATTTTTTCTTGCCCATTTTTTATCCTTTTCACCTACTGATTTTATACGAAAAGTCAACAGATAACTGCATGCCTTGATTTTTTTTAAATAGCTGCATCAACAGATGCCTATTACATACCACACATAAGTGTTTTTTTTTTATTTACGCTACTTAGTTTTTCTTATTGTGGTTAGACAAGGAAGACATATTTTTCTAAACAATTCTATACTTTATATTCATTTTTTTGTAACCTTTTGAGGTCAGCAACTTTTACGAAGTATTCTGAAAATTGAAATATAATAAATCACCTTTATCAAAAAATTTGTTTCATGTTGTATATTTATCTTCATAAATATGGTTGAATATTAAAGATACAAGGCGGAATAATTAACAGTAGTTGAATCTGGTTAAATATATTTTTGAACATATTTACTTATTTTAACCATACCTTTTATAAATTTTAGTATTAATGAGTGTATGTGCAATTTTTTGCAGATGTTTTACTTTTGGTAATATATTTTTATTTCTTAACTTCATTGTTGAAGGTCCTGTAAAAACACAACCAAGCCACATACGGAAAATCAAAAGGTTTTGATCATCCTTGACACTACCTTTTTTGCTATTGCAGCTCAGCTGGGCTCTGGATTTCAAAACCACACTTTTCCGATTACTAAGTAGTGTTTAAGATAAAAATGTGATTAATTACTACGAGTCCGAGAGCTCTACTATCCGATAATATTACTCTATACATGTTTGCAGGTCACATATCGTCTTTTTAAAACTGGCGGTGGCACTAGGTGGTAATGGACAATTATTAAACAATATTCAGCTTTTGGGTATAAAACCTAAAACTCGCTGCTAAAACACTAGCGCCAAAACCGTTCTTTTAGTACCAATACTTTGACCACACACAATTTTGTTTAAAAAACCTATTAAATATATTGATAAAAACGAAGTAAATTATTATTCCGAAGTACAAAATATAAATTTTCTGTATAACGCTTTGCTTAATAGCTTAAAAATATAATGAACATACAATTTTTAAACGATTAACTAACAGAACTGAATTTGCGCCATACAACATCATTTAAGGATGTTATGATTTCGGAAGTCAATTATTTATACGATTAAAATAAAAAGTATTTACATGTATTATTTATTTCACAGTTAAAATTAGTTACATGAATTGTAGTTAAAAATTAAAACAGTCTCGTTTAAAATAAAATCAGTAACAGGTAATGATAACACTGGGCGAGATATTTGTGTTTTACGATAAATACTTGTTTGAATGACACTGCATCTTAAAACTCTCCACGCTATTTATTATGGTACCGTGATATGAGATTAGTTTAATGATTGGCTTTTAAAATGGCAGACTTAATAATTATTATACACTAGCATTAAAATGCTTTAGAAAAGTTGCATGCTAGTTAATATTGAACTATCTATCTATCCGTCACTCTCCAGTTTTAATTTACAACAGACCGTAAATAAATAATGATTATAATTGTAAGTAATCTTATCGCCTTGTAATAAATATTTCAATTTACTAGACTTAAGCGAACTCTATAACAGTATAGGAAGTTTAAGTTTCAAGTTACTAATCAACAATTTACAAAATAACGCTTAATCTGAACCATGGCCTTAACTTGTTGTTATAAACAGCAACCTTAAGCTTTGCGCTGCACAGTTTTAATCTGAATGCTATGACAATAGAGTTCACGTTACGGTTGTACTTACTTGCAATCGAATAACGTGTTTTACTATAACAAATTATAACATACCCTTTGGAGACAGGCTTATAGTTGCATGACGAGGTTTGCGCGGGAGGCGATGGGGATAGTAGTAGGGTGAGAGTAGGCGACGGCATACGGTAGGGTTGCGCTTGCGTTGGCAGACACTGTGAGGGCAATGGCTGCTCATCCTTCTCTTGATAGTAGTTGCACTGATAGGAATCGTACCGATTGTGATAGTCGCACTCTAGCATTGGCCAATCTGCCATGTTGTATTTCTAATGACGAACTAATGCTTTGTACGCGTGCATCGTCGTTCGCACCGCTCGCGCACTGAGTCGCACCCCGCCCGCTCCCCTCCCCACCATATAAACAACTGCAAATCCTTTATCTACCATGCGATTGCATTGCGACGTGCATTGATAATAGTAAGTGCCGGGTCGGATCAACACACGCTCCCGAAGCTCCTACTTCTAGTTAATTAGATTAAAACAACGTATTAAATTTGTAACAACTAGAAATCTGAGAAAATAAATTTGTAACAACGTATTAAATCTGAAAATAAATTTGTAACAACTAGAAATTTTGAATTGAATTGACTTTCTTGAAAATTTTAATATATAAAAGATTATATTTAGAAAAGCCATATTGGGGAGATCATAATATTTTACTAGAACCTTTACAAACATTTGGAAAATCACAAGAAAACAACATGAGATGTTGCGATAACCTCTTAATTGGCTACTATCGACCAAATGTCAAGCTGTCAAGCTAAATATTGACACTAACGCAAGGTGACTCCGTACCTTCAATAAATATATATAATAAAGGTCAAGAAACTTAAAACGTCGGAATTATGCTTCTATTGCATTATTTCTAACTTTTAAACCCAACTTATTATATTGCATTCAGCAAAATAAAAACTTGTACTAGTTTACCAGTTTTATCATTTATATTTGCTCTATCATATTATAATGTCAGTGCTAGACACATTTAACCTTTACTCCCTTAGTCTTTCACCAAAAACTTCCCACTCATTTTTGAATAATTATTATCAATTACTCAAATATAATTGACTATCATATATAATTCATTTAGCTCTACTGTTGCACATAAAATTGTTTTTCCGACATAATAATTGCAGTACGACTTGTTTTTATACCTAATTATACAAAGAAGTAATCACGTCTTTTAGTTTATCTAAAAATATATCCAAAAATAATAAATCATTTATAATTTGACTACATGAAACAGAAAAGTATTGACAGAATGGTTCTGTGAAAAAAATCTCTTCAACGTACCTGTTATTTCTTAAATTTAATTCAATACTAAGTGATGGCATATTATGCTTTAACTTAACTTTTTTGGGTTATCCGATTTGCATTCATGGCTTCTATAGATTTCTTACAATCCTTACCAACAATCATTACCAAATTTCTCAATAAGTTATCATTAAAACTAGATTTCAATATCCAACTTAGAATATTTTTTATTCTTATATGAGAATATGTTTTATTCTTTTATCAGAAAATGTTTTGCTGATCCCACGCCGTTAGCGATTGTTTGGCTTATCCATTAATAATTTTTATTTCACCAAATTCTTAATTTTTTATTCAACAAGGTAACAATGACTAAAATAGACCAACTTAAATAAAATTGTGTTCAAGGAATTGCTAATATCAATGACATCAATTCAAAGGACTAATTTTTAATAAGGTATTAACAATGTTAAAATTTTTTTTTCATTAGTACTTTTGTTCGTAATATTAATAATTTTTGAACGACTAATAAGAGTAGTTGCTTTAGTGTAAGTTATCTTTAGTGGTAGTTAGCTTTAGTGGTAGTTAAGTATTACGGCTCATGTCCTGAAATCAACTTTCACCAGATACACTAAAAAGACATATATCTTTTAATTATCTATAAAAATATAGCCTCAATTAAATATGTGATGGTTTATTGCTTGTGCGACTCAAACATTACAATAATTTGTTTTACTGAGGATAAGGAGCTTAAATAAACCTTGGATCGTAAAGGGTTTTAGTTTTTAAGGATAAACTTTGATAAAAACGCAAATAATTTATTAAATTAATTAATCATGATTACTGACTTATTTTTTTTACTTTTATAATTATTATTAACTGTAGAATGTACTGTGGTAATGAGATCTAAGATTTTCGCGAATATTCATTTAAATGTACTGTGGTATTAACTGTGGTATGTATGCATATAATATATTTAAACACTTTGATGTGTCATATAATATAGCAGATAGTATTAGGTATATTTATTTATAAAGATATCACACTATAACTAGTTTTAAACGATTTGAAAAATGGTAGTAAAGGCAAAACAATCACTGTTATATCGACCTGAAAAAAAGTATTATTTTTAACATTTTAAGTTTTCTTATTATTTCCATAAAACCTTCAACTGATTTATAATCTTACTATATTAAATTGAAAATAAATAAACAATCACTTATTTTTATTTATCTTAAGCCATAAAAGAAAATACGCGATCGTTTTATAATACATTTCTTTAAGAAAAGTTTTATTCTGTTAAGAAGATGTGGGTCATCTAATAGACATATCTTTAAATGAATTTCCCTTTAAACTAAATAATTCATTTTGAGAGTGTGATTGCTTAATAAACATTTAATTTTATCAATACTCCTCCGTCTACGACCCTCGAAAGTCTGTGAATGATTTTAAATTGGTAGTCTTGTCAGCCTCAAACTATTTTGACATCGAATAAGAAAGAGTGTTGCATATTAAACAATTTTTTTTAACTAACCGTAAAGTATTCTAGAAATAATAATGAACTACATCTTTAAGTTTTAGATATTTGATATTTATTCGCCAAAATGAAATTAATATGTACAAACAGTACAGTACAGTCTCTATGAGATATTTCTGTTTTGATATGATTATTGTGCCATTCTTCCCTATCTCACCAGGCTTTGGCAGTATTCAGTAGTAATAGACATTCCATTGAAAACTTGGTAACGAGAATAAAAAATATTTTTGGACAAATTGTTTTGTAAAGGGAGATTTGTATGAAAATAATATAGGTATATTAAGAATCAAAGCTTGAGTGGACATGATCTTGTGAACTCGTTCTTTTTTTATTATAATAGAACCTAAAAATCCTTAATTATCCCATACTAATGTATAATTTCTAAATTGTTACTAAAAGATGTTAAGCAGCTGGTTGTAGGAAATAAATTAATTACATTGAAGGTAGGGTAGCCTGGGGATTTTGCTTGCGAAAACGTCGTCGGAATGAGAAATACCTCTGAAGGTCAGGTCTGAACCTGGTTTATGCATATACGTTGTTTTAACTTACTCTCAACATCGGATTATTGCCATTAGTATTTCCCATTAATTAGTCTGCATTACAAAATTGATATTGAATTTGCTCTCGCTGAATGCAGGGATTATGCAATCATAAAGCTTAATAATTATAAAGTCAGCTATCACTTTTCATCGTTTGAAGAAGGCAAGACTTAAACAATAAAATATTATCTCTTGTTACCATAATGTAATTCCATACAATTCGTTATACAACTTTATTTTTTTAGTAAAACTGTTTCTTGAGAGCCAGTTCATATTTGTAATAAACCAAATGAGTAGCCGCATTGAAGCTTTAGTCTTAGAAAAAAAAATACCCTTAAAATGAATAATCTATATATATATAAAAGAATGTCGTGTTAGTTACTCCACTTATAACCCAAGAACGGCTGAACCGATTTAGCTGAAAATTGGCAGAGAGGTAGTTTAGAACCAGGAAATTGCAATAGGATACTTTTTATCCCGTTCGCAGCATTCCCGTGGGACTTGACATGAAACGTCAGTCACTATAAAACGAGGAATAACGAAACACAATTGACAGCTTTGCAATTGACGTAAAGTGACAGATATGAGTTATGACGTATGGATGACAATTTGACAATTGTAAGAAATCTTCTATATATATAAAAATGGATTGCTGTTCCTTAGTCTCGCTAAAACTCGAGAACGGCTGAACCGATTTCGCTAATTTTAGTCTTGAAATACTCCTGGGAGTCCAGGGAAGGTTTAAAAGGTGAGAAAAATTGGAATAATTGCCGGGGAAAACCATAAAAACAGCCCTTTTCTATTTCCCATACAAACGTTTTTTTGACATTAGATTTGACAACTAACTAATATGTCAATCATTCTGTTTGATTGAAACAGGAAAAACCTGATTATTTATGGCCTCTAAGACGGAATAGAGTTCGCCTGGTCAGCTATACCTACATATATTACTCTTGACCAAACTAACACGGACGAAGTCGCGGGCAAAAACTAGTCTATTATATAAAAATAAGTCCGGTTTTCCATCCTGACGCTATAACTTCAGAACGAAAGAACCAAGAAAAGGGGGAAAATCTTATGTCACATACAGCGCCATCATACATAACATGTACTACGAGTACAAATCAATATTTTAAGTAGATGGTATGTACCGTCGCATGATACATTGTTTGACAGCTACACATTGTTCTCTGCTCAGTTAATTTATTGTGACAAGCCGGTATTGTTTTAGTTTAAACTCTTAAAACCATTTAGTATTTGCGGGACAAATTTAGAAAATCATTGCTTTTCACATGGGCAGTTATACTTTGCGTGATCACGAGTTGGGAAACCATCCGCTTTATTTGTGTTAACGTTAGACCAAAAAACAAAAAATGTGGTTTACAAAGGAGCACTTCAATGAAACGGATAATTTGCGGACACGTATAACGCTTCGATTCGGTATCTACTTTGGATTCACTTTCATTTACTTAGAGAAGTTCAACTAAATAACACTTCATTTTTGTAATCGAAATGAATTCACTGCTGTTGTGAAATGAAATAAAAATTTTCCTTTTCAAATATAAAACAAAAAAAATCTTTATCTTTTAATCACCAAACGAAATGTTATATAAAAGCCTTCTGGTGGTGAAACGGAGTTCGCCGGGTTTACTAGTTATTCATAAAATCGTAAAATTATTTCGCTACATTTTGGTTTGCTTTTTAGAAACTCTAATATATGGTTCAAATGCTTTGTTAATGATTCGCTTTTGAATAAATTAATATTTTCATAATGCAAAGGACATATTTTTGCTATACCTTGAAGATATCTACCGTTAGTTTCAGACTCCTTTATGTTGTCAGCCCATGTTCACCATTGTTGTAAAATAATCTGAATGTCGGGTAAAGTGTAGAATAAAAAAATAAATATGAGTAGTTCATTTCAAAATCATAGT